TTTTTTCTTCTTCTTTTTTCACTATTTCTTTCATTTGCTTTATATTTCCCTTTCTTTCCCTTCTCTCCCCTTATACATTTATCTTATTCCTCCTGACATCTTTCTAACCTAATTCATACTTTCTTATGACAAATTATACAATAATGACAAGAAGAAAATGTGTACAAACAAGGAATAATAAAAAAACTAAATAAAATTAATATTTAGATATATAGTAGACGTGTTCAATAAATCATAAAAAAAAAAAAAATATTAATAAAAAACAGATCAATCATAAAAAAAAAGATAAATCATAAAAAAAAAATATTAATAAAAAACAGATGTAAAAATGTATTAGAAAACTAGCGAATGACATATATGACAATATTTAGGAACAAATGGAGAAAAGGTAATAATTATATTAAAGTTAAGACAGATTATTGTAAGTAAATATATTAGTAATAAAGAATTACCGCAGGAGAAAGATTTAATTTTTCTTAAACCTATTTTATTTATTTATTTAGAAATATAATAATCTGTCACGTGAATAATAATTATAGTTAGATATGAACACATTCACTCCATATATACAGAAAACATAAAATTCTTAAACTTTAAAGAAAATAATAAAATCCTACCTGCATAAGAGTACTTTATCGGTTTAAAATAAAATTTATAAATTTGATAGCTAGTAATTAAAACACCTTGAGCAAAGTTAGGGTCGGATGGTACTCAAAATTATGGGAGTGGGGAAAGTGATATGATAATTACCCCAGGAGTATTAATTATTTTTTCCGCTGTCCTCAGAGAAGACGCATTTTATTATTTTGTCAACAAAATAGCTCAGATTGCGTAACTTGCAGGTGTCCTTTGCCTGGCATGGTAATAGGGGAAAGTGGAGATGATAAGTCGGTTGGATGTTGTGATGAGGGTAGACCGCGGGAACAAGGAGCTCATTGTGCCCCCAAACACGGAGCACCTCTGTCCCTGCTAATATATTCACCGAACCCAGTTGATCCAAGACCCCCTCCCTTCAACTCCCCCTTGTCGAAGCCAACTTCCTACCGCTCCGGGGGGGTGTAGTCTGATAGCAATAGTCTGCTAATTTGGTTCTACTGAAGAGGATTTACGGAATGTAAGCATTATTCAAAAGTAACATCGAGTTGAATCAGATTAATTTAAACTATAAACAAGGGTAAACTTCCCAGTTTTCGGCACGCTTAAGAAAACTTTAAAATGTGTTTTTCTAGTTTTCGATGGTGTATGTACTTGGTTCAGCAATTTCGGTTCTGTTAGGTCAGTAAAGATCTATAATGTAAAAAATATACATGTGAACAAGTTTATTTATTTGTTTATATTAAAACTGAAAATTGTATAAATAACCGTACTCACTGAAGTACCAGTTTTCGGCACCCCTTTCCCGATTTTAAAAAACCTGAAGAATGAAAGAACTACAAGGACATTGTGCATGAATGAGTATTTTTTGCCAAAAATGTAAGAAACGTCCTTCCTGAGCGACACCTGTCGTGTATATATTCTTCATCGAATTTTTTGACCTATAAAACTAAATAGTGAGAGATGTTAGAATAAAATAGCGCAGGAGGGATTCCTGCTTCAATTGGGCTTCTTTTACCAAAACTAGACAATTCCCAATGCTTAATAATTCTTCAATAACTGTGAGTGGGGGTGCCAAGAACTGGGGTTTTACCTTACACTGAGTCTCTGTGGATCTGGAAATGCTAGGGAATAGTCAAGAAATTTTATTTATGAGGGCAACGAGAGGAGACTATATTAAAAGTATTAGTAGTGATTTAGGTCTCGGTAGAATTTATTTATCAGTCAAAATTCAATTTATGTTTAAATAATTCAAATTCAGGTATCATCGGGTAAACATTACGTTTTTAAAATTTTGCGATATTATTTATCTAAAAAGGACAAAAAATCATTGGACTTACTAGCAGCCACCATTCCGTTGATAAACTCAATTATAGTAGTAAACAAACAATTATAACGAGACCAGAACAAATATATATACACATATTTTCAGATTAATATGAATATTGATGACACTCAGGCCTATAGAATATATAAAAATATATATATACTTTGATTACGAATTCTAGTTCTGTTATAAATTTAGCCGAATCAAATGCATTTAAAAAATAAGAAGTGCTTAAGTTTAGCGCGGCAGATAATATGAGTGAAACACGCCTTCGACTCCATGCGCTTAAACAGCTGCTTAACCCCCTCACATATTAACGTGTTTACATGAGCTACATAGGAAATTTAATACTCTTTCAAATTGATTGTAATGAATATCTTCGAGAGATGGATAGATAATGAGTTTTTTTTTTGGAGGGGGCGACGAAAACAGCTATCTGTTGTTAAATAAGGAAACAATTAACTTGCTCTAACTCTGGAAGCAGCACACGATTGTTCTACATAAAAAAAAAAAAAAACTATATAAAATTTATAGAAAATTTTGTTTTATTTTACTTGTATGGGATAGTAATTTCGATGAAATCCGTAGTTTCTGAGACATGCCAAAAAAACTATAAAAAGTGGGAAGTTTTCGCAATATGTTGCCTATGTTATGGAACGCAATGGAAAATTACTTATGAGAGCTTAAATTCAGATTCGGCATTCCATTTATCTTATTATTCGGCATTCCTTTATCTTTCTGAAAAATTAAGTTCTTCCCAATCAGTTCTAGGCTAGATGGAATTGCATGGTATAGTAAGAATGGTACCATTTTGCGTCTTGCTTCAGATCTATTTATAAGTTTTGTTGCTTGCAAACATACATCCTACTCCGGATCTTCTCTAACATACTGTCTCCTTTTGGAACAGCACACGATTGTTCTACATAAAAAAAAATAACTATAAAATTTATAGAAAATTTTGTTTTATTTTACTTGTATGGGATAGTAATTTCGATAAAATCCATAGTTTCTGAGATATGCCAAAAAAACTATAAAAAGTGGGAAGTTTTCGCAATTTGTTGCCTATGTTATGGAACGCAATGGAAAATTACTTTTGAGAGCTTCAAATTCAGATTCGGCATTCCATTTATCTTATTATTCGGCATTCCTTTATCTTTCTGAAAAATTAAGTTCTTCCCAATCAGTTCTAGGCTAGATGGAATTGCATGGTATAGTAAGAATGGTACCATTTTGCGTCTTGCTTCAGATCTATTTATAAGTTTTGTTGCTTGCAAACATACATTCTACTCCGGATCTTCTCTAACATACTGTCTCCTTCCGGAAGTAGTACACGATTGTTCTACACAAAAAAAAAAAAAAACTGTATAAAATTTATAGCAAATTTTTTTTTTATTATTCTTGTATGGAATAATAATTTCGATAAAATCCATAGTTTCGAAGACATGACAAAACAACTATAAAAAGTGCGGAGATTTCGCATTGTTTTTGCCTATGTTATGGAACGCAATGGAAAATTACTTTTGAGAACTTCAAACTCAGATTCGGCATTCCAAAAAACATAAAACCCGAAGAATAATCGTGAGAAATGTTTCGCAATTGCGGTTTTTGGATGGTAAAATCCCTTATAATCAAATGATATTAATCTTCTTTTTACTTTATAGAAATTATTGACAAACATAAAAACCTCTTTCTAAATCTCTGAGCAAACATTTACTGAGTACGATATTGATGAAATTAGACTGGCTTAAAACCACAAATAATAATCTTCACCAAATTTTGACTTCACATTTCAGAAAATGGCAAAAATATCATATTTGTAATCTTTATCTTTCTGAAAAATTAAGTTCTTCCCAATCAGCTCAAGGCTAGATGGAATCGCATGGTATAGTAAGAATGGTACCAGTTTGCGTCTTGCTTCAGATCTATTTATAAGTTATCTTCAACTCCATATATAGAAACACATCGCTAACCATCATGAAGCTAGCCCTCTACGTGCGGTTTTTGGATGGTAAAATCCCTTATAATCAAATGATGTTGATCTACTTTTTACTTGATAGAAATTTTTGACAAACATAAATATCTCTGAAAAATCATTTACTGAGTTCGATATTGATGAAATTAGACTGGCTTAAAACCACAACAAATAGTCTTCACCAAATTTAGACTTCATTATAATATTACATAGATACTAATTTAAATTATAATATAATTTTCTAAATTAATTGTCTCTATTTCTAGGAGAATTTCAGAAAATGGCAAAATGTCATATTTGTTATCTTTATCTTTCTGAAAAATTAATTAATCGATCGATTGAAATATTTGTGAATAATATTTTCCATAAACACATCATCCGGATTCGGGATTTAGACACTTCAACATCGTGGTTCTTCAGCATAACCGTCAGCTCGTCTTGGGGACTCGTGTTGATGAAAATTACTTTTCTGCTACTACACATTCGCTCATGACTTGTGTAGAGAAGCCATTGCCAGGACTCCAGTGACTTATTTACAAAAGATCTCGAGGCCACTGCCGCTTCGACCTTCGAGGAGGGTTGTAGAAATGACTGGAACTGGATAAGGATTGGCATTAAATCTAGTTGTTCTGTCATGATTTTTGTCAAGCCCTCCTTGAACTAGAATGTCAACATTCTCGATATTTTCATCATCGGAACTCTCCATCTCCGTGCTATTTAACATTTGTCTCTTTTCGAGCATATCTGAAATGATAGACAACTTTTTTCTGTTTCTTTCTATCAGTTCTAAGTTATTTAAATAAATTCGATGGCGGTTTTGATTTTCAATATCTCGCTTTTCGTTTCTAAGTAGCTTAGGTAATAAAACTTGCTCTCTGTAACAGTTGGTAGGATCTTGGCTGAGTTTATATCTTCGGTATCGAATAACAGCGGGAATCTTTCGTTTTTGGCTTCAAATACTCCGTCGATTTCATCATCTTTTCTTCGTCAATGTTTCTTTTTCCCTGAGTATAGCCCGGTGCGAATTCGGCTACACAAATATGCTCCAAATTAATCGATCGATTGAAATATTTTTGAATAATATTTTTCATAAATACATCATCCAATTCAGGATTTAGACACTTCAACATCGTGTTTCTTCAGCATAACCGTCAGCTCGTCTTGGGGACTCGTGTTGATGGAAATTACTTTTCTGCTACTTTTAGATACTGGCAAGGATAGATTAGCTGCTTCTCGCGCTGACATCAGGCTGCTTCTTATAAATACGTTGGAAATTATCCTGAACTTATCTTTTAAAGCTAAATTACCCCATTGGCAATCTTCGGCAGCATCTCTCAACAATTTGGACAGACCAGATTCAATTTGACTAATGTAATTACTAACATAGGAGGTCACGCTGTATACGTCAAGCACAAATAGTAAATTTATGTTCGATTAAAAATTATTTAAAATGTCCTCATTGTAACCATTAATGCTTACTTCTAAAGAAGTCCTCTTCAAAAACACTTTAGGCGATTTGATGGATGATCTGACGGATTTTATGTATTCTTCTTCATTAATGCCCAATTTTTCCAGCACATCGTCAAGGTTTTTAAATCTAATTTCATGAAAAAATAATTCATTGTGTTATTAATATTAATCCAATTAGATTTCAAATTGATGTTCTTGGCATCACAGGTATCAGAAAATTAAACCGGCATTAGTTTTTGTATTTACGTCTTCTACTGCATGTGTGAGTATGTTTGTGTTTTTGTAAAGCCGCAAAAGGGCCCTTTTCATTAAATTCACAAGTGATGAATCTATCTATGAAGTCAATTCATTTTTCAACACTTTTTGGATCTGAAGGATTGTAATGAGGAGCATCTGTGATCCAGAGAAAAGTATGTTCATGGGGAGAGTCCCTCTGTCGAAACTCCACACGGTCGAAAGAATCAACAACATCGTGCTCCATAAAAATATTATCTTTACCCTTTAACATGTGCACTAACAAAGCAATCTTGTAATCAAAATAACGAGCACAACTTACAGGATCATTACTGATCAGAGCAGCCTTTTCAGCACAGCTCATTTCTAGCGCACCTGAATTCAGCGGCTGATATCGTGAAAGAAAAAAAAAATCGGTTTATCCAACTGCCTAATCATAGCCATCAAGTCCTTCTTCTTAGATGCCCAAAAGGCAGGTCTGGAACGAATATTTTAAAGAACTTGATAACCACTATCTATTTTGATGAAGTTATTTACAAATGTTTGGTCCAACAAATTTTTTGCGTTTATATTGTTCTTACTTTTCTTACTTTTTCTAAAGCAAACGTGAATGTTTCCAAGGCACTGTTTCTCTATTTTTTACTTCGCCATAAATAAGACTCTTGATGCAATACATGAGCACGTCTGCATTCCGACTTGCCTGGATCTGTGTAATCTGGATCTGTTAGAGTAAAACTAAACGAAGAAAGAACATAGGGAAAGAAGGTATGAATGAGACTTGTAAACATTAAAGAAAGAAAAAAAAAACATGCACAAAACAATACCAAATAAAATTACGCAATTAATAAAAGATGTTTAGATAAACAAATAAAGAATCCCCTTCTAAATGTTCACAATATTTATTGAGTAAAAATAAATCCAAATATATACAAAAGTTAAATAAACATTGTTATAAATTTATGAGAAAAAATACAATATCCTATTGAAAAAAATAAAATAAATTGTCCATTAAAAACATAAACAAAATAAACTTCTAAATCAGAGTAAAAAAAAAAGAGAAAAAAATTTAATATAAAATTCAATCGAGTGTCCAACAGATTTAATTAATTAGAACAATGACCAAGTTACGTTCATGTTCACTGTCTTTATAACGGCGGGGAGATGAAAAAAAAATTACAAGTGTAAGGTACTCCCGAGGAGGTTACCTGGCTGTTCAACGGTCCATGGTGGGTGATATCGATGAGTTATCGATATCGATCAATCGATACAGCTGACTGTCGAATGCTGGCCCTCAGAAAATAGCGCCAGATGAGACGACACAGAAGCGGCTGGCGTGGTGGGGGGTTCCTTTAGAGCTCATACACAGACCCTGAGTCTCTGAACGCTTGCTCGAGACTACTCAGACTCCATCCCGGCAGTTTTATCGCAATATTTTGGTGTGTTAATGCCCAAGACTCAGTATTACTGCCGGGATGATGCGTATACACAAAGCGATAATACATCGCAACGTACAATATACAAACTTAATTATCACATAATTACACATTTCCGGAACAATCGTCCTTTGGCACTTTACAAAAGAATACATGAACATTTTATTCAATTGACATTCGGAAGGGGTGAACACTAAGGATGAAAGAAAAGAACTGGCATAACTGCGTTTGGTGTGAATGCAAGAATAATTGGGGTGGGGAAAGACCGTGGGCTGCGGTAGTTGTGATGGATCCCAATTTAGGTGTTCTAAAGTTAGAGAAGCTATGACGATGAAGCTAGCGATGGTGGTACAACTAATAACACCTGTAGGAAACTGTAGGGAAGAAATGTGAGATGGGGAGGGAATATTGTGAATGAACGTTGATTAGACCTTGAGAGCTGTGTGGATCAACTAGAGTGATCCTTCATGAGCGATGGTAGAGTCTCGACTTTTAATAACTTCATGGGTAGTAGTTACATCGATATTACGGCGGTTCTTCCAGTATGAATGGTAGAGTTAATTTTGTGAGAGTGCTAGCAGTTTGTGAAAATGCTACTACCAGTACACATCGGGTGATTCTTTTAGAGGTTTGTAAAAGTGGAGTGCCTGAATATAGAAAAGTGGAGCGTGCAAAATTTCAATTGAGAAAAGCGGACTAGACGAAATTCAAGAATGTTTGGAACGTGCAATTGAGATTGAAAGTTTTTGAGTGTCAGGGAAAAAAGATGTTATATGAATGGCTAACCGTGAGGAAGAGTGGATTTTAGGAAGTGCGAGGAAGGCGATACCAAGGGGTGTGCTCTAGACCATACATGTGCCCATAAATCATAGATTGGCACCATGGGTGGTCGCCGGGGAGTACTTGTACTGCCCGGTGGCATGACGTAGTGGTTGCTTTAGATCCCTCCCAAAAAGAGGGGGAAGTTAGATATTGTGTTATGTCCTTTCGTCAGCCTCAATTCATTAGCACTAGCAGAAAAGTTAGAAAACTGAAATGTTGGAACCTCTGCGTTAATGTGTTATTAGTTGTCCGTAAACCTGAGTAAATCGGTATGAACTGCACTGCCAGATAGAGATCGGCTATGGAGCTACGAGTGGTGTGTTGCTAAACTATGGAGACCATGGTACGTAGCAACGTGAGGTTGGGTGGACCACCTCCAGGCGTCTGTAAGTAATCCACATCTCGCGGCCAAAGATCTTCATGGTCTGTAGCGCCAATCGAAAAGAAAAAAAAAAAAAAAATATTTATATATATATATATATATATATATATAAATATATATATAAATATATAAATATAAATATATATAAATATATATATATATATATATATATATATATATATATTTGTAAATATATATACTTGAAGTAACATTGATGTTACCGATACAAAAACAATCTGTTACAAAAATAAATCTATTGTCTATTTTCCAAATATATGTAGCGCCAACCGAAAATAAAAAATATATATACCTGAAGTAACATCGATGTTACCGATACAAAAATAATCTGTTACAAAAAAAATCTATTGTTTATTTTCCAACCCTACCTAGAATTTTTGATCTCTTCAGTATATAGAGAGAAGGTAATATCCACAATCAGTGATATTTTTTTATTTTATAATATTCGTTTATATAGGGAAATTAGTTTCATAATAACGTTTATATACGTATATTAAAATATAAAGTTTTCCCTTAATGCATTTATTCATCAGTAATGAATGGAAAATTTACCAAGCGACGCTTAGACGGTGGGGGGAGAGGAAGATTATAACAAAAGGATTATAGGAAACGGTGCAGAAAACAGAGGAAGCCTGGGATTCGAATAGCAGCGAACAGATTCCTTGTTTCGGCCAATCCTTAGGGATAAGCCTAGTTTATAAGGCATTTACATAATGTAATGCGAATGGGTATACTAGCATTAATGTTTCTGAAAACGATTAATATTTGCTAATCAGAGGCAAACAATGAAAACAAAAATAAAATTTAAAAAAAATGTATTCTTTTATAAAGAAAGTTCGCCACACAATAGCTATTTTCACTGATATGTAATTTTATCTTTTACCGAATCAATATTTCCTACATGGCATATCCTTATTTTTCTTAAAACGATAAATTCAGTCCTGATGGCTTTGTTATCTAAAGAAAACGAAAGTAATAATTAAAATTTGAGTACTGTGATGTTTCTCGGATAAAATTCAGTGAAATCTTCTTATTCTAGACTCTAAGGAATATTCCTGCAACCCATATTACATCATCCCGTTTATAAGAAAAAGCTTTGATAAGGGGGAAAGTTTGTCGTAAATGGGCCCTGTTTTGGAAAATATAATTGAAGGGAAAAAGGTGATTTTTATGGAAGGCTACTAAAGAAAGTAGTGTTGAGGTTTTACGGTGCATTGTATTAACAAAGAAGACACGGATACACTTTTTAAAACTAACTTTTAAAAAACTTTCAAACTTTCTGGACCATCAGTTTTTTCCCTCATTTTTCTTCTCCTTCCTCTTTTTTTTTTTTTTTCCTTTGGTCCTACTTCAAAAGACACGACTAAGGCATTGAAGAGACGAAACCGATGAACGAAACTTTACAAAATCCTTTAAAAAAGACTAAAGCTTCAAATAAAAATTATTTACATTTTGTTATAATTATATATATATATATATAAATCAGGGATTGGCATTCCCCACAAGGTCGATGGCGCATCCCTCTACCCAAGATATATTATTCCTTCCCTCTGTTTAAAACGAGTGCATGTGAAAGTAGTTCCTGATGACCGAGGGTGTTGAGACGCTACTCGCTTTAACATTGACGAATCCACGGAATGAATATCAACTTTCTCACTCATAATAGAATAGAAAAGAAAATTGAACTTTATTCTGGGACTAAGTCCCTTTAGAATAACAATGATGAATTAATACAAAAGAAAATACAAAGCTGGCCAAAAACTAACTTATAAAAATACTAATATTATATACATTGATTTAAAAAAAGTATGTAACCACTAAAAAACAAATAAATGTACATAGAATCTTTTCAAAATTACTTATTATTGTGATGGAAGGAAAAAAAAATATTCATATTTATATATACATAATTAAACAATTTATAAACAGTAGGCTAACTAATAAAAAAATAACTTTGTACAAGCTGCAATAATATCTACAGTGATTTACATAAGAATACGCAAACACTAAAAGAAACAAATGAAATCTTCTCAGGAATACTTGTAGTGTAATGCCGATAAAAGAAATACATACGTACACATATTGATACCTAGAAAGACAAAAAGTATAACCTGGATAAATAAATAAAACAATAATATAATAAGATAGGAAAAGTAATAACAGAAAGGCATTGATTTAGATTTAGAATCTGGCCATTGCCAGAACTCCAATATTTACAAACTATAAAAGATCGCGGGGCCACTGCCGTTTTAACCTCCCTGGAGGATTATATGGATGGGTGGTGCTGGATAGAGATTGTGCAAAAGGATTTGGATGATGGGTAAGGTTCTGGTGGAATTTGGAGAATTTTGCTGGGATAAGGTCTAGGACAAATGGGATATTAAGATCATGGTGTAGGGTTTTGTTGGTTACATAGAAAGGAGCATTGACTATTGTTCGAAGGACTTTGGATTGCGTTTGATGTTAAAAAATTTTGCTGTTCCCCACAGTTCAAATCCGTAAGTCCAGATAGGTTTCAGTATTGTTTTGTAGATCAGTAACTTGGTGGTCCATAATTAATTAATTGAATTTCTTTTCTCAAATGTTGGTTTGTGTTCATCATGATATAGATAGGTGGCAGAATTAAAATATCATATAGTAAAAAACTTAATTTATTTTTATGTTTAATAAAGAATTATATACAAACAACATAGAAATCTCGATGTGCGAATACTGTATACAATAGACTAAATAAAAACATGGTTTGATAATGATAGTGCAGATAGTATTTCAGATGGACTGTTTTGAGAATTATTGCCATGAAATATTATAACATTAGGATTGGGAATTACAACTTAGCTATTATGGTATGTGAAGTATTTTAGTTAGTAGATTTCATCACAGCATCTGTTGATCCGAGGTCTTTTGTCAAGCCCAGGTCCAAAAACTTCCCCAAGACGCCCATCTGTGTAGGAGGGGAAAAATACATAAGACCTCTTTTTTTACTTCTCGGGAGATTTTATAGAAATATTCAGGGTGGGGCTTTCATTGGTTCTTAGCTTCACCCTATAACTTCACAATAACAGGTAATACACCCTATAACACCCTAAAAGGAACCAGTTACTTAACCCGTTACTAGTTACCCTGAGCCTTCAGCAGGGTCCAGGTATAGCTCGGTCCTTATCTACCTGCTGTCCCCCTTAACGCTGTTTTTGATGTCAGAAGTCGGTTTCATTTAACTTTGTCTTCCGTAGCCGATACTAAGTCTTAAAAACTTATTTGCGACATAGCAATACCCAGAAAGAAAGAAAACAGCAAGACCTGAAGCGAGGAAAAAAACAAAAAAGAATAGTAAAAATAATAATCAAACTAGATGACAAAGGCCATTGATTTTTTATGCTAAAACTTAAACAGTAGCTACACCATTTACTTCTCACAAATACAATTCATAAATTGAAATTTATGGTAGCGAATTGTCTGATTGACTTAAAACAGTGCGTTTTTAAAAAGAATGACATATCAATACTATTAACTATATACAGGAAGTAGAGGAAATTATTTATGAGACGGGTAGTAGACATCAATAACAAAAAAAAAAAATTAATTTCAATTAATTCAATTTAATTTAATTCAATTTCCAGCAGAAAAGTAGGAAATTTAAAATTTGTGTTTTTAAGCGAGTCACATTTTTTGTGACATAGGAAGCGATAATTATCACTATTTTACCAAAAATAACTAAGGTACTCTCAGAATTAGATATTCCCTATATACAAGATTATATTTACAAAACAACCCTTATCCTTCTTTTATCTCAAGAACACTCGTCAAGTCCATTAATAGCTGAAATAGGGAATTAAAAAAACAACAACACCCAGATATAAACATAAGAGAATGAACCATATTCTGCTCTAAAATAGTCTAAACTTTATTTTATTGTAAAAAGTATTGTTTTTTCCCATAGTGTTTATTTTTTAACAATTAAAGTTGACTAATAAAAAAAAAAGGAAATATATTTTATTTGAGAAGGATCTCAATATCTCGGGGGTGCGGTCAAATTACAATACCAGATATTAAAATTGTATTTTATTAAATACTCCGCGGTTCGATACAGGTAGTGGGTCTTCTTCAAGGCGTTGTATTCGGCACTGCTAGGAGTATAAAAAATGTCTTCGTCCTGAGAAAAAAACTGCCGTGTCATTGGCGAAAACCATTTACCTCTAAATGGCGACTGTTTGATGTCATGCATATAAAATTTAAAGAGGATGGATGAAACCTTTTGGAGTTCCGGCATGAATTGGTCTTATGAATGGATTTACATGTTCGTTTGTAAGGAGTAAGATATATGGAGTGTATAGTGTATTTTGGAATATACAGAGTTTTCCGTAATTAGAGGGAAATATATAAAAGGTAGATAGTAGACATCACGATGTACAAAAATGGTCATATAAACAATTGCCCGATTTCCAGCTGTAAAGTAAGAAATATAAGATCAGTGTTTTTTTAAGCGAGTCACGTTTTTTGTTGAATAGGGAGCGATAACTTAAAAACTTAAAGGAAGTTAGTCGACTGTTCTACATTAATCCTTAATATAATACAAACTTATATTATGATAAATATTGTTATTCTTAAAATATTGTATAATATATTGTCCTAAGTATCATTTGCATACATTGAAATTGTCTTTATTATAAAAATTATTCATCTAACCATTGTATACTTGC